GTCACAGCAGCTCCATGTGCCCTTCTGCTTCCCTGCAATGGCAGCAGCACAGCCTGCCGCAATAAGAGCAAGGGTGAGCAGCAGTTCCAGGCACACTGTGCCAAAATGATGTTTAGACAATCCTTGAGAATAATCCACAGCTTCTCCTTGAGTCTGGCCCTCCTGGCCATGTGTCCATTGGCCCCTCTGGTTCCCCTAAGGCAGAAGAGGGTTTTTATCTGCTAGTTGCTTGCTCCCCATGTTTTTTCCAGTCCTGGCTGGGGTTTAACAGGCATGTTTTTCATGTGTTGCAGGCAGAAGGTGCTCTGGCAGGGTTGGGTGACAGGCACAAGCAATGGCTGTGTTCCTATGGCACACAGGTGGCTGGAGCATGAAGTGGACATCTCTGCAGTGGAGCCAAGAGCTGCTGGGCAGCATGAACAGCTCAGCCTCCAGCTCTGCTCCAGCAGGAAGCTTAGTGGTGGCATGAAAAACCTCTCCTCTACTGCTCCTACAGCATCAGTCCTGAAACAGGGACTCAGTGGGCTGGAGTGACTTAACCATCACCTTGTAAGTCATTCCAGGAGGTCACAGGAAGGAGTCAAGGGTGACAGGGAGCTTGTGGGGTGAAGTGGGGTGAGGACAGCAGCTGCCTCCCCACTGCTTTCCTGGCAACACTGGAAGTGTTCTGGGTTCAGCTGGAGCCTGATTGCCAGCATGCCCGTGCATGGCAAGGATACAGAGAGCATCCTCAAGGCTTGTTTGTGGTCTCCTAACAGGATGAATTCTTGCAGCAGTGGGAGATGAAGCAAATCCAGTTGGTGACATTTGAATTCCTGAGCAGTTGAGCCTGGCAGAGTGACAAAGACAGTCCCCACAGTGCCCCAGCTCATCTTCTGCTTCCCAGCAGGTGCTGAGGGCCATGGTGTGACATGAGCACCCTGCTACCTCCTTCTGCCTTTGCACAATTCTGCTGGGATTTTAATGACTGCAGGTCATGTCTCAGACACTTTGTCCTGTCCTCTGTCACCCTGGGACTGCTCTTGTGCTCACCCCGGAAAGGGAGGGCATCTTCCTTCTGGGAGGCTGTGCCCAAGCCATATCCTGAGCACACGTTGTGACCTTATGGACAAGTAGGGGGAGGAAGATTTGTGCTGATGAGTAGCTGGCACTTCGTGCTGCTGGGGAAGGTCTCCCAAAATGCTGGTCATTGCATAATCCTGTCCTTTCTGATGTGTGAGGGTAGGGGATGCTCCATTCCTAGCGGGATGAGAGTGACCTGGAGGAAATCCTACAGTCAGTACGTGGTGGGAGGTGATATGGAACCCGAGGTTAAAGATTGGGTGGGGTGCTGTTCCATCTGGGAAAGAGGAGTGCAAGAGTCTTCCCTTACGTAACGCCTTGCTCCCGAGAAGGTGGTGAGAAGCACCCCACCACGTTCCTCAGATGGGCTGAGAAGGAGTTGGCTTCATGGGAAGCATGGATCTGACGTGGCAGGAGTGTGCTGGAGCTGCTCTTCTGTCAGAACTGAACTTGTGGACTCTGGATGCATTTTTGTGTGTAGATGGGCTGTGTGGATTACGTGCAATGAATCCTCTGTTTCAGGTGCCATGGGGAGGGTCCTGGATAGAAATCAGCCCTGAATGCTGCCCTGCTGCCTCTGTCTTTGCTGGCCATAGGAAGGGAGAGCTCCTGGCAGAGGCTGAGGAGGGAGGTGGCACTGCACGACCTTGCAAAGGGACAAGTCTTCTTCCCTGCCCCACTTACTGGCCCTGTTGTCACAGCCAGCAGCCTGACACTGACAGTGTCCCACTGTTCAGCTCTCGCTGAGCTCCTCCACCCGTGTGAGACTGCATTGGATTTGACTGGAGGGCTCTGCCTTGCAAACTCCACGTTCCTCTTGCTGCTCCATCTGTTGGCTTGGTGGCACAGCCAGCCAGGGGCTCCCTTCTCAGTGGCAGTGCAATGCTGCCTGTTGAGCCTTTCTGTTGTTTTGCCATGTTGTTGAGCCTTTGCTAATTCGCTCTCTTCCCACACCTTTGCCTTTGGGCTCTGCTCTCCAGCCTCTCTGGGTTGTTTCTTTTCACTGCAGTGTTTCTCTCCATGGGGATAATCCCAATCTCACTGTGTCACCAGCCTCTTTTGCACTTTGCTGCACTATTCTTGCCTGGCCTCTGCCTGCTTCCTAATCTCCTTTGATATGATCACAAGGCTGATCTCCCACTCCCTTTAGATGATCCTCTTATCCATTTCCATTGTCATGGCTCCCCACCTCATTGCCTCTGCCCATTTCTCAAGTCTTTATGCAGCCTCATCCCTTTGTCTCAGGCTGGACAGGACATTCCCAGCTGCAGCATTCCCAGCTGCAGCACCCCTGCTCCTTCTTGGGGACATTGTCCTCTCCTGAGCCCACCTGCCAGTGCTGAGCTCTGCAGCAGCCCTGCCAGAGGCTGGGTTCCTCTGGGAAGAAGCATAGAAGCAGAGGCTAGCTCACTAGCCTGGCTTCCAGCTTAATTTGTGCAGACATAAACTAGCACCCTCAGGCTCTGGTTTCCCTCCATTTCATTTTGGAGAAAACCCTGGATGAACTGGGAAGAAATCAAGTATTGTAGCTGTCCCTAGTGAGGCAGGCATGGGTATTGACGGTGAGTGTCCAGCTTTGGTGTGGTCCCACCATGGTCCCCAGCTATGGGCTTTGGGCTCTTCTGGCTTCAGGGACACAGAGCTGCTCCTGACAGGGTGGAACATCCTTGTCTCTCTTATAGGATAATCTTGAGTGTGAAGCAGCATTTAGCTCAAGAGCCAGTCCTGCTCTTCATTCAGGTGTGCATTTTTATTCCTTAAAAAGCCAAGATTGCCACATTTTGTATGGGCAGAGGGAGTGTTTGTGTTTTGTGGGTGCCACTTCTATGCCTGTGTAATTGGAAGTTGTAGCAGTCTAGAGTAGATTGTAGGGAGAGGGTATGTCCCAGATCCACTCTTTTTGAACCTTAGGAGGGACTTTGGAAAGTCAGCTTGGGATGTCTTGATGGCCAGACTGGAGCACTGAGGATTTGGACTGGTTGGAAGCCTCATATGAAGTTATGAAGTCTCTTTGCTCTAAGATCCTTTGAGTTGTCCTTGTCTGCATGAAGTGATGGAGGGCCAGCTGGATTTCTCCAAAAAGCCCATAAATCCTGGAGATACCTATCTCTGGTGTGTGTTGCAGTAACCTAAATTAAGGAGCTGAGCTGGAGGTTGGTGGATGGGCTTGTGGTTGGTACAGCAAGGGGCAGAGCGGCGGGGAGGGCTCTTGTCTGTGTTGCTGCTGAAAAAGCAGGAGTGATATGAGCCGCCTCTGCTCTGCTGCTAAAAACAACCCAGCTTGTTTTTATTTAATGCAGTTTTGAGCTGCAGGCCCCAGTGTTTCACCTGCCTGCAAGTGGGAACTCCAAACCCCAAGCGCCTTGGAAGCCCGCCTGCGTCCCTGCGTGTCCCTGCAGCACCGGGATGGGAAATGTGGTTCCTCCTTGGCTGGAGGAGGGACTGCTGAAATTCAGGCTGGAAGGCATTGGGATGGGACAGGTGAAGCTTCTGTTGGGGTCATGTTTCTGCCACTGAGGTGTTTCTGGGTAAACTGGGCCTCTGCATTGCCAGATCCTGCAGGCTTTCCCAGGAAAATGGACCCAAAAACTGCTCCCGTGGGATTTCTGCCTGTATTTCTTGTACAGCATCCTGGCAGCATGGAGGTGGCTCTTCAGGTGGTACAACTGCCAGCACCAGGAGAGGGTCAGTGTTGGCTCATGTCTGTTGTGGATCCTGCCTGGTGCCAGCATTAGTCTGGGAAATAAATGATTCTTAAATCACATTGGTTCATCCCCAGGGCTGAAGGGAGTCAGGCTTTTGTAAGGTCATGATTGATGTGTCCATAGAGCTCATCATTCTTGGTGTGGGGCCAGCTCTGGCAACAGAGAGCCCCAGAGGGATGTGGCCCTGCTGGAGGATGTGCAAACAAGCCACACCAGCAGGCCATGACAGAGGAGAATAGTTGAGGCAGGGAGGAAAATCACTGGGTCAGGGAAGAAGAAGAGGATAATCAGGGCAAGAGGGAGGAAGAGAAGAGCTGGGGCAGGGAGGAGGAGGAAGAAGGAGGAGGATGATAATCAAAGTGGTTGCAGGGTTAAATAAAAGCTGTCAGTGATTTGAAAAGGGGAAAGAAAGAAAAAGAAAACCCGCTAAAGAGACACTCTCCTTTCTCACCCGGCTTGTAATCAGCCGCCCCCTCTGCCAGCGAGCAGCTGGCGGGCGGGCGGGCGAGGAGGGGGTGGCAGGAGGGGTCCAGCTGCTCCTCGGCCCGGCCTCGGCACCCCAGGAGTCCCCTCAGCCCCAGCTCAGCTCGGGCTGCACAGCCCAGGACCTGCCCCTGTCGTGGGTCCCTGGCAGGCTGGGGTCTGAGGTCCTGAAGAGCCCTGCCAGGGGGAGGTGGGGTGAGGAAAAGGAGGAGGGGGACTTGTCTGAAATGCCGGGGATTCATCTCCCACTCCCCCTGCCCTCGCCGTTCTTAAAGGAGCTGCTTGAGCTGTCGGCTCTGGATTATATTAATTAGCAGAGAAGTGCTGTGCCTGCTCATGGGGCTGTGCTGCTCATGGGGCTGTGCTCTTTGTGGGGCTGTGCTGCCAGCAGGAACTGGAGATCTGGCGAGTCTGTGTGAAGCAGCTGCCTGGCTCCCCAAAACCTCTCATTCCAGCCCAAAATAACCTCATCAAAAGGCTAAGCTGGGGGTCTTCAGCATCTCCTCCTGGAGCCTTGCTGGTTGCCTACCTTCTGGGCCAAACCTGCCTGCCCTGGTACCTGGGGCTGGTGTGGTAGGGAAAGCAGCACCATGGTTTCGGGATGGCACCCTCTGCTCCTCACTAGGCCTCCACTCCTGTGGGCAAAGAGGACCAGGCTGACCTGGCCGGGCTGGCAGGTCAGTGTGGTGGGGGAGCTGCTGGGCTGGGGGGTGAGGACATCCCTGCCCATGGCTGCTTTGTGTCTTGCAGGAGAGGAAGCTGTGTGCCCACCCCCGGATCGAGATCTACAAGCAGGACCGCATCTACTTCGTGTGTCCCCTTGCCCGCCAGGGGGACTTCTATGTGCCTGAAATGAAAGAGCTGGAGAGGAAGAGCAGGGCTGCTGCAGCTGTGGCTGAGGACGCCCAGACAGACATCACAGGTATTTGTGGCTTGTGCACAAGCTCCATCTTCATCAGCCCTCACAGAGGTGGGGTCCTGGTATCCCCAGTCCTGCTGCCTGAGCAGAGAGGGACTGGCCTGTGCCCACCTGGTACCCAACCACCGAGTCTCAGCACACCTCTTCCCCTCACCCTGGGCTGATCCCCAGGGATCTGAGATGACATCCCCTGAGAAGTCATGGCGTGCCTCAGGGAGCACCCAGGAACCCTTGCAGTTTTGGGTTAAGCCACTGGCCCACCGTTGTCAGCGCAGAGCTGGATCTCACAGCTTTTACTTGCAGCTGGGCTTGTTTTTCTCTTTGTCATATACATCTTCCTTGATCTTATGTTCATCTGTTACATATTGGGATTGCAAAGAGCTTAAATACCAGGTTGCTGTAGCTCGTGGTGGAGTTGCCTGAGAGCATCTGCTCAGCAAGATTTGTTGGAGCCTGGATGTATTCATACAGGAAGGGACCACAATGGCTGTAGGCGCAGAACAGCAGTGCTATAGTAACCCGAAATGCTAGTTGCCTTCAGCAGCCCACATGCTCCCGTGCCTGTGAGATGTAGGAGCTGGCTGTCCAAGCATTCCCAGGCACTGGACAGCACATCTGAGCTGGCTGCTGGCAGGGGCCTCCCCCTGCCCCACGCTTGTGTAATGGGCATGAAAAAACCATGAGGGCTGTGCTCGCCTCGCGGGCAGTTGGGTCATTTGCTTCAACACATCTTCAGGTTTGGGTCGCTTTAATTCTTAATCACATAAAAGCAAGCCTGGGAATTGCTTTCTGGGAGCTCTGTCCATTTAGCATTGGAATGAGGAGCCTAATTGGAGCTGTTTCCCAGCACTTCCAGGGCCCGTGTTAGCACGGTGCTCACTTGGCTCTGCTCTTTGTGTGCCTTGTGTTGGGGCAGCACCAGCCCTGCTTGGCCAGAGGTGCCCCAAAGCCCACTTGCTCTGACAGCTTCAGGATCCCTGGGAGCAAAGGCAGCTCGAGGGTGGTGCCTTCAGAGCTGTGTGTGCTCCCGTGTGCCCTGCTCAGGGGCCATGATCCCACAGCACAGCCAGGGGTGCTCGCAGCAGCCACTGCCCTGTGCCCTGCCTGTCTCGGTGCTTTCCCTGGGTGCCACTGCCAGCGTGCCCACAGTGGGGAGTCCTCTGCCCTGCTGGAAGAAGGGCTAGGAAGGTCTTCCCAGTTTTAGAAGGAAAATGACATTGGGCTTTCTCACTCTGGGCCGGGCTCTCCAGCAGCAGCTCTGGGCCAGCTCCTCCACCAGCCCTTCCCCTCCAGGCACATAGATGAACTTCTGTCAGTGCAATCTGATGCAGTGCCATCTGCTGAGTCTGCACAAAACCAACTTAAAATAATAATACCTGTGAGGTTGGCCCTGCCTGTGAGACTAAAGAGTTGGGCTTGGATGTTGCACTGTGATTGTCACTGCTGGGCACAGTGGCAGAACCACATCTGATGGGTGTCACATCCTTGCTCTGGCTGAGGATGTAGCAAGCCTATGGGTGGCTTGAGCAGCTCCTGCCTGAGGCTTTGGTGGTCCCATGAAGATTACACCTTATGGAATGAGACTGATCCTCCATTCCTGACAATTTTATGTCGTAGGATCTGTGCAACCACCTCTGAGTTGGAGAAAGAGAACCCTCTTTTCCCATCCTTTTTAGCCTTCTTCCCTGGGCAGTCCCTCTAGAAGTGGCTCCAGTTAGTCACAGCCCCTTTAACAGGCATGATGGACATGAGATCTTGATGACCCAGGAGATCCAGGATGTCTGTGACAGTTTTCAAGCTCTCCTGTGCCAGCTGGAAGGTGGGCACAGCAGTGTCCCCATCTGCCTGTCAGCATGATCTCTGCTCAGCCCCCAGTTGCTTATATTTGGGTTATTTCTTGGTCCTTCTCAGGTTTGAGTGGATGTTTCAAATGGTCCTGCTCTGCTGGAGGCTCAGAAAAGGACTCCTGGGACAGTGGGGGCAGGTGGCAGACCCTGATGGTGGCTGTCAGCTCCTCTGGCTGTGCCTGAGCTGCACAAATCCAGGTGTAGGGCTTTGAAACTCAGTTGTGCCTCAATGGATAAGTGGAGACTGGGAAGGTTCTGAGCCCCATTTCCTCTCCCAAAGGCAGCTGAGGCTGCTCTGTGCACAGAAGCTTTAGGCTGTGTGTCCTCACGTGGTAGCAAAAGAAGCCTCCTCTTTCCCCCTCCCAAAATACTGAGATAAGAGCATTGAGTGTGATTTCAGCATGGACATCATGTTGGGTAATGCTCTGTGTGAGCACACCACTGGTCAGTCACAGCTCAAGAAACTCCCCACCAGCAGCTGGATTATGCTTCCTTTGAGTTAAAGACGTGAGAAGTTCCAAGTGGAAGGTGTTGCCATTTCTCCTCACCTGTCATTGTGGCTGGTGCCAGACGGTACCAAGCGACTTGAAAGTGTAAGAAAAGCTTGGATTTGTTTTCTCGAGCCTCCTGACCTTGGAGCACCTCTCTGCATTTAGGCTGTCATGTGCTGTCCTTGCTCCTGAGCCCCCCGTGAGGTGCTGGGTGCCGTGGCTGTGAGTGAAGCCAGTGGCCACAAAGGCTGTGGGACTGGTGCAGGGTCTCTGCTTTCTGTGCTGCTGTGCACAGAGCAGGGTGCTGCAGCTCTGCTGAGGATGGACTCACTCAGCACACGAGGAAGGGGCCCGGGGCTGTGGCTGCCTCTGCACCAATTCCGTCCCTTCTTCGCCATCCTCAGGGTCATTGGAAAGACAGGAAGCGTTTTAGGAAGGCGGCTGATGGGTCTGCAGGGGGCCAGTGTCAATCAGGATGAGTTGTTTTGTACTTAATTGTTTTCTGGGGCTTTGGCTCGGCGGGTCCCCGCTCCCGGCTCCCTCCCAGCAGCGTTCTGCAGTGTGACCCCGCTGCTCTGTGTGCAAGGTGAAAGCAAACAAAAGCAGCCTCTCCACCAGGGCTTGCTGGCATGAACACAGATGGTTCCCAAGCTTGTGGCTCTGCCCAGAATCTCAGGTGCTCATTTTCCTGGAGCAGAGTCCGACCCACAGCATTCAGGTACAACTGATGGCATCACACGCTGAGCCCCAGTGCCACAGAGGAGCAACTTTCCTGGTGTGTTCTGCCTCATCCTTGCTTGCTTCCATCCTTCAAAGAGCCCTGCCTGTTCCTGCCTGCTTTTACATCGTGGGAAGTGCCCCAGTCCCCTTCCTGGTGGCTTGTGTGAGCTTCAACAGTCATGGACAAGCTGTACCCCCTGGCAGCACGTTGTATTTAGGGGTGATGAATTTGATGGAATGAGGGGAAGGAAAGGGCCCAGGAGCACCAGGAGTGGAGCACTGCTCAGGCATCAGTGTGGCGCAGGGGTGGTGCAGGGGGAGAGCCTGCCCTCATTCTGGATTTGGGAATGTCAATACCTGGTGTGGCACAGGGCTGAACTGTCTGGGGAGCCAGCTCCCCCCCGGGCTCATTGGCAGTGTGGGGTGAGTGGTTCCCATTGCACCCATCCCTGGCTGGTCTCTTGGAGCTGGCTGCTTGATATCCCTTCTTCCTGGCTTTTGGGAGACTCCTTAACACCTTGTCATGGCTTCACCCCAGGCTGTGCCTCTGTTTCCCAAGTGAAAACTCCTGGGTTCCACGTTCCTGCTGAGTGGTAGTGCAGTGGGATGGCTGTGCCATGCTTGAGGGAGCAAGGTCCAGGGCGAGTTTCAGTAGAGGATGGCTGCTGCCTCACAATGTGCCAGAGGAAAAAGCCATGCTGGATCAGGGTGTTGGACTGGTTCCTGGTGTAAGGACCAGCCTTGGGAAGGTGGATGCAAGGAATGGGCAGTGGGTCATGGGAGGACCAAACAAGGTGTGTGGGGAAGGATGGACAAGTGGCTGTAACAGCTGCTGGAAGTGTGTGCCTATGAGATGGGGCCTGAATCCCTGCTTGCCCTCCCACAGGGCTTTGGTTGCCCTCTCAGAGCCCCTTGCTCTGCCTTCCTGGCCTCCCTGTTAGGACAGCTGGGTGCTCCTGCCACGTTCCCCTGTCAGAGCTGACCCCACATGGTCCCTGGCAGCAGCAGCTCTGTTGCCCTGGCCACCCCAGACATTGATCCTGGCCAGGCTGAGTGGCCATGCCAGAGCCAGCCTTTTCCTGTGCAGGGGAGAGCGAGGCTGCTGAAATGGGCAAATTCGCCAGCTGAGGCTGCTCGAACATGATCAGAAGTGACAGAGCAGTGACAAAGTGCCTGGCTGAAGGGAAACAGGACTCGATTTATTGTCACCCTTGGAGCAAGGGAGAGGAAGGTGGCTATGAGAACGAGGACAGCAGTGCTTTCCCACAGTGGTGGCTTGGAGCGGTGTGTAGGTCAGCTTCATCCCTGTCTTCTTCTTCCTCTTCCTGAGCTGCTGCTCCTCTCCTCAGGAGATTCTTTGCTTTGTGTCATGAGGTTACATGACAGCTTCTGAGCCCAAATGTTCCCTGGGGTGTCAGGGGAGAGGTGCTGAGCAGGAAGGCACTGCTTGGGGGGTTGGTGTCACTCCTGTCCCCTGGGATCTTAGAGGGATGCAAGACGACCACACATGACATGAGCTGTCATGAAGCCATGGTGGGAACATGTCCATGTCACCTCAGGCCACCAATCTGGCCAAATCAGATTATTTCATCTTTTTAGATCACCGCTAAAGACCTTGCAAACCCTAATTTGTCTTCAAGGCTCAGGGTCTGCACACTCCCCTTCATCCCCTGCAGCTCTTGGATCTTCCCAGAGGCTCCCTGCTGACCCAGTGCCCTGCTGAGGTCCTGTCAGGTGGGACAGCATCTCCCACCTTTCTGCTGCCCACTCAGGGTCTGCTGTCCCCTGCAGAGAGTGCCTTGCTGCAGTGTGCAGAACATCCTTTTTAACTTAGAGTAAATGTAGTTTCCATGTCGAGGTGCTCCCTGATGCTGCAGCAAAGGCAGTGTGTGTTAGTGGGCAGTGGTTTTTAACTCCTTTCCCTGGGAGGGGTCACCTGGCATTGCCTGAGGAGGGGCCGAGGGCTCAGTTTGTGCCAGCTGCCCAAAGGGTTGCCAAGGTGAGAGGGTGGAGGTTCAGGTTCCTTTCCAGGATGAAGCCAGTATGCCATCCAGGTGGGATGAAGCAGTGGGTGCACTGTGTCTGTGGAGCTTTTCTGGCTACCCCTCATCCTGCTGCCACTGCTGGGTCCTCTCGGAACAGCCGTCACTCAGCGGCAGGACCGTGGGATGATGCTGCTCAGGAGGCAGAGGACTGCCATTTACAAGCAGTTCTGCTGGCAGCTGCCCAGGCTGGGAAGAAAAACAGCACAGAAAAAGGATTTAAGGATGTTTGGAAGGAAAGTTCCCTCCTTGGTGAATCTCCTTCAGGAGATCAGTGGCTGCCACACAACTGCAGGAGAGCAAGCAGCCCAGCCTTGGGAACCCTGGCTGCAGGAGCTGTAGGCGGCTGGAAGTGCCTGTGGGAGCCCCATGCCAGCAGCTGAGGATGGAGCTGCACCAGCAGCAGGCTGTGGAGAAGAGGGCTCTCCTCTCCCACCTGGTGATGACCTCAAAGAGGTTCCCATTTGCCGCTTCCCAGCCCCGTTGGTGGCAAGCCCCAGTCCTCCACGAGTGCTGCTGCTGAGTGTGGCTCCTCCTGATTTCGCTCCTGGTGTGGGGCATGATCCTCAGCAGGGGTGTTCAGTCCAGCATGGATGGAGGGAAATGACAGAGCCTGGCACTCACTTCCCACTGCTGCAAGGCAGGCAGGGAGGAGATAGAGCAGGGAGGGCCGTGATGGAAGAGCCTGCCCAGTGTTTGCAGACATATCATAATTAACAATGAGGATCTGTGATGTCATAATAAACCACGTGGATCTGTGATGTCATAATTAACAATAATTAATGTTTAACAGGAGGGTTTTGTCTCCTGGCTGGTTGCTCTGGCAACAGCTCCGAGCTGCTGGTCTTAATCTGACACGTTCCTCTTCTTGTCAGCTCCTTAATTGTATTGTCGATGGAGCTAATGAGGCAGGGATCTGGGGAGGAGGAGGTGGGCCAAGGGCTCCACCTGGGCAGGCAGGGGCAGCCCCGGGGGGGCAGGTCATGAGATGGGGTGTGGCTGGCAGCCAGGTCATGTGGAGAAGCACAGAATGAGCTGGGAAGGCTCCCCCTATCCTCTGGCACCCTGACACCTGCCTGCTGCTGCCCTGCCTATCTTCACACTGCTGCCAGAGCTGCTGGCTGTGGGGCAGCCATGGAGGGAGTGGGAGCAGCCTGTCAGGTGCTGAAGGCACCAGGATGCTCTGGCATGAAGCTGGACATACATACCTGCTTCTGACAGCAGAGCATCTGAGGATTTGCACTTGTACCGTCACCCCCTTAGGTGCTTAAACAATTCTGCAGCTCCACATCACCCTCACAGGGCAGAGTCCTTCCTGCTCTTTGTCTCATTCCTGGTGCCATGCCAGAGACTGGCATGCATTCTCCCTCAGGAAGGGCTTGGCGGGTCCTTGTTATGTGCACGAGGAGCAGTTGTGGGGCCACGGTGTGGCCAGGTCAGGGTATGGCTGGAAGCTGGTGCTTGTTTGTGCTGACTTGGGGGTTCCTGATTTCAGGGAGCAGTTTGGGCTCAGCCCATTCTTGACCTGGTCACGTCTCAAAGGTGTAGGAGGTGGCAAGAGGTAGGAGCTGGTCTCCACTGTGGCCTGATATCTCAGAGGCTTCAAAGGCTGTGGCCCCCATCCCCATTGCCTCCTTCCCACAGCATTCACTCTTTCCCATTCTCTCTCCATCCCAGGGGTCGACACCATGAGTGAGACGAGCTCCATCAGCGTGGAGGCCACAACTGACAGCAGAGACACCTCGGTGGCCACCTCCATCCTGCTGCCCTTCCCGGGCAGCCGTGGCCGGGAGGAGGCGGACAACCGCAGCGAGCACAGCTACAGCGAGTCGGGAGCCAGCGGCTCCTCCTTCGAGGAGCTGGACCTGGAGGCTGCCGGGGACGGGGAGGGAGCCCCGGGCCTGCTGCCTGATGTGGGCTATGCAGGCAGCCAGGAGGTCACAGACAAGTGGACCAAGGAGCCCATTGCTGCTGAGAGAGGAGAGGAGTGAAGAGAGACCTGGCTGCCTCACCTCCCACCGGGGTCTGAGTTACTGGGAACCAGTTGCCTTTCCCACCTCCTTCCTCTCCAGCCAAGAGATTTCGGTTGCTGATTCCCCCCAGGACCTGCTCTCCCTCTTTGCAGAAAGGGTGTTTGACCATTGTTGGGGGTGCTGGGAGGTGGGGGGGATTTCTGTGGTGCTTGGTGGTGCAGGGTTAGGTCAGGTTGGGAGGACAGTGAAATGCATTTGCTGTGTGTGTGTCCCGGCCCATGGCAGATTCTTTGCAGGTGTCTGGGAGTTGGTGGTGGATGTCAGAGATGTCCCCCCTCGTCTCTGTTGGTGCCCCTCTCACCCACAGCTTCTCTCTGCCACACCACCACGTTTTCTAGCACCAAAGAGCTGTGAGTTGGGTCAGTTGGGTTTGTTCCCCTCTTCTTTCCCCTTGCTGAACAATGGAAACATCCTGTGTAAATGTGGTCCTCCTGGCACTGCCATGGGCGCTTTGGGGTCTGTAATAAAGTGGATGCTTTTCCTCACTGGTGGCTGGTACATTGCTGACTTGTCCTTTGGCTGATTGTGCCATCCTGTCCCATGGTGGGGAGTGGGCTGTGGCTGGGAGCTGTCCCCATGGCCCTCACCTGAGCCAAAGAGCTGCCCAGGGGCTCTGCATCCCTGCTGCTCAGGCTTTCTCCCTGCCTGGGCACAGGGTCTGTCCCCAGCTTGTGCAAGCTGCAGGGGAAGTGGGGAAGGAAGGGTCCCAGCTGCCATGCTGAGCTGGGCAGAGCTGGAGTTTGTGGCATCCCCACTCCTCCTGGGAACCTGTGGAAAGTAAAACCAGTATAAAGCCAGATATAAACCTGCTGCTGGGCCTCCTGCTGTGGCAGGGGACACCAGGCTGCCTGCACTGTGCCTTCCTGACATCCCATCTGTCTGTCCTGCTGCTGTGGAATGCAGGCAGGGAGGGCTGCCTGAGGTGGTCCCTGTTCCCTGTCTCTCAGCTTGGGACAAGGGAGCAGCCTGGACGTCATGGTCACGGTGCCACAGGGCAATGCCAGGTGCAAGAGTACCTGCTGAGTGCCCTTGGTGCCCCAGCAGCCCAGGGATTGTTTCCTGGTGGTCAAACGTGGCAGCCCAAAACTGGGACCTGGGGTGAGGGTGTCAGGGCCAGGGCAGGTCTGACTGTCTCTCCATGGTGGGAATGTGTCCTCCCTGGCTTGGAAAGGTCATGATTAGTCCTCAGCCAGTGATTGACATGAGATTGTTCATAAATATTTTGTGCTCTGAGTGATAAAATATTAAACTCCTCCAGCCCACATGGAAAAAATATTGCTCTTCCCGGTGTTTATCTTTGTTGCTGGTTATTACAAAACTGCCAAGCCCCCTGAAATATTTATGCTTGGCTGAGGCTCCTGAGGGATTGGAGCCAGGCAGTGGATACTGACGGTGCTTGTCCCCTAACCCCACTGAAGCTGGGCAGCAGGGGCTTTGCCATCATCCTGCTGCCATGGGCACTGGAACAGCAGCTGGGACCATGCAGCCAGTGCCGAGGTGTGTGTGAGGCTGGAGCCAGGGCCCCTCTGCTGGGGGAAGCAGGACCATGGCAGTGCCACATCCCTTGGCACAACACACCTCCAGTCCTCCTCACCCCTGTCCACCCCGGCCTGCAGTGGTGAGGTCCCCCAGCCCAGGCTCCCTCCTCTCCCCAGTGTCCCACTCTGTGCCAACAGTCTTGACAGGAGAGGCCGCTGGGGTCTGGGGTCCTGCTGCTGTGGGGCTCCAGGGGGGACCTTGCCAGGGATGTTCCCAGTTATCCCTCCCCAAACCAGGATTGCCGGGGGGAAGGGAGTCCAGCAGAGTGTCTGACACACTACAGAGCCCTTAACTCGCAGCCTGCGAGAGCAGAAGCTGGCAGAGGGGAAACTGAGGCACACAGTGGTGAGGTGATTACTCAGGGCAGTGCCCCAGAAGCACCTTGTCCCCTGTGTCATCCCCTGTCCAGTTCTCGTCTCTGAGGGATGGAGCTCTGTGGATGCAACACCGCAGGATCCTGGGCAGCCGAATGGCTCTAGGAAGTTTGGGCAATTTGTGGAGATGTGGGACGCAACCCTGGCCGTGCCTCTGTTTGTATGGCCCAAAGCCTTCCCCAGCCGGGTGTGTGAGCTGCCGGTGAGCGCTGGCGCTGCGGGGAATGCGGGTGGGCAGTGGGTGATGCCGGGTGCCTGAACTCCTCCCACGGCTTTGGGGAGTGGGAGGCAGGCCAGGCAAGGGGGAACAAACCCTGGGGCACCAGCCTGTAGCTGTGGAGCTTGATCTGGGGCTGGGTCCCCTCTCACTGTCTGGGAATGAGCTGGGGGCTCTGGGGTCAGGGGAGCAGGTGCCGAGCTGTGCCCTGCCAGGGTGCAGAGCCGCTCCTGCCTGCTCTGGCCATGTCGTTCTCGCATCCTGACAGTGCTCGGCTCAGCCTGACCATCCCTTGCCTGGACCTGTCTGTGTCTTGCCTGTGTTCTACCTTCTCTGTCCGTGTCCTGCCCGTGTCCTGCCCGAGCTCCGCCTGGACCTGGCCATCTGCCCCCGGCTTTGCCCCAGCCCCGGCACTGCCTGCCCGGCTCAGGGGGGCAGTCGGGGCGGCCCCGGGGGTGCCGCTGCCCACCGGGCCGGGCCGGACCGGGGCGGGGGCCGGGCCGGGCCGGGCGGGGGGCGGAGCGGCTCCGCTCTGCTGGGGCTGGCGGAGTGTCAGAGGCGGCGGCGGGAGGCGGTGGCAGCCGCAGCTCCGAGACAGCCGCGGCACCGGCACTGGCACCGGCTCCCGGCACAGTCCGCCGGGCCCAGGTAAGGGCTGCGGTCCCACCCCGGCGCTCCCATCGCCGTGCCCTCGGTTCGCTCCCTGCCCCGGCTGCGCGTCGCCGTCTCCAGAGCCCCGGTGCCGGCGGTGGAGCGGCACGGAGACCGGCGGTACCCCGCTGCCGTCGGGGCCGCGCCACGGCGGGGCTCGGAGACCGGTGCCCGGTGCCGGGGCGCCCGGAGCTGCGGGACGAGAGCAGAGCACGGGCACGGGCACGGGCACAGGAGCCGCCGGGGATGCGGGCGGTCAGGGTGCACCGGGGCTGCTCCTGCCGCTCACCCTTGCCCGGCGCAAGACGCGGAGCTTCGGGAGAACAGCCTGGGGGTTCTCGTCCCCCCGGTGATCCGGCAGCCCCGAGCCCCGCAGTGGCACTCGGCAGGACCCGCCGTCGCAGCCCCCGGCCGGGGCTGTCCCCCGGCACCGGGGCAGGGACGCGGGGTCAGCGCCCGGCCCGGCGGGACAGACCCCGGTCCCCGCTGTTCCCCTCGGCCTCCGGTGCGGCTGCCCGGGCCGGGGAGAGCCGGGGCTTTGCGGGGGCAGTGAGTGTGCCGGGACAGCCGGACCTGGGGCGCGTTCGGGACCGGAGGTGGGGCGGCCGCGGGGGCGCCGGGGAGCGCCCCGGGGAGGCCTCGGCCCCGCGGGGTATCGGGGCTGGCAGCCCCCCTGCAGGGGAGAGCTGGGGGCTCCTGGCAGAGCTCGGTGGCGGTGGGACCTCTGGGACCTCCGCGGGAGGTGGCACTGTCCCTGCGCCCCCGCAGCAGTGCCGCTCTCGCACACGGCCCAGGTGTCGCACAATCCCTGGGATGCTGGTGTCGCAGGGCTCAGCGCTCCTGGCACGGCGTGGGAAGCGCTCCGAGCACGGAGGAGTCACGGCCCCTTCTCACTCGCCCCATTCGGGGTGCGAGGAGAGGCTGCCCGCGGCTCCAGGAGCTTCCCGTGGCTGTCGGGCTGGACTTGGCCCTGCCCTGCCCGGTGCTTCACTTCCCCGGACGTTCTCCAGAGGTTCCCGCGGGCTGTCAAACCCCCGGCACTAAACCAATCGAGCTGAGCAGCTGCGGGAATGGCGGGAGCCCTGCTCACTGTCCATCGTGGCTCGCTGCCGGGTGGGTGGTGGTTTGCCCTTCAGAGGAGCTTGGCCTGAAGTGCCTTTCATCTGGTGGGTCCTGTCACCTGCCCCAAAAGACCTGGACCACAGGGACCCGGGTTCCCAGTGTCACGGGACCCCTGTGCCAGGCTCAGCCTGCCACTGATGAGCTCCATGAATAATCCATGTGCCTGTGGCCTCTTCCCTGCTTGAGGAAACCCCGGGTCCCTTAGAAGCATTTATTCCTGAAATAAGGCAGGGACTCTTTCCTTCTCTCATCTCCAAAGTCCTTCACACCGGGGAGGGGTCAGGTAGGAGATGCCCTGAGACAGATGGGGATTCAGCAGCAGCAGACAGCACCTGAGAACAGGCATTTAGGGGCATGGAGGAAGAGGAGGACGTTGGCATGTGTCACCCCACCCCACCCCATTATGCTCTGTGTCACACTGCTCCCTGCATACCCCTGGGCATCACTGCCAGCTCTGGCTGCTTGCTGGAGAGCTCCTCCAGCACAGCCATCACCTCTCTGGGAGCAGCATGGGGGCTTCACGGGGTCCCCTCCTCCTGCTCAGGGAGAGCAGCCTCAGTACGGGCTGCAGGGAGCTGCAGGGGGGCCAGCACTCTCTGGCATCGCCCCCCTCAGTGCCCCCACAAGCACTGCCGGGCTGTGGAAGAGGCCGTGGTCCAGTCACAGCATCAGCAGCTTCCCGTTCCAGAGCAGCCTGAGGCTCCTGGACTGCCAAGGGGTCTCCTTCTCCCATGGTCCCTGAAATGCCAGCCCCGTGGGATTTCAGCAGTCAGCTTCAAATGGGAAACAAATCTCTCCTGTGATTTGGGAAAAGACAACCAATCTCGGAGGGGACTGCATCTTCTGCCAAAACAAGGCCTGCCTGCTGCAAAAGCCTTTGATTCCCCCGCGCCTCCGTGCTTTCTGCAGAGGGAGTCAGCAAACCTGGCTCTTACTTTTACTGAAATCTCTGAATTTAGTATACAGGGAAGGAAGGGGCGGTGGTGAGAGAACAGACTCTGAAGCACCGCGACTGCCAGAACCCTGCGTGTTGCTGTGTGAGGGTGAAGTCCCTGCTCCAGCCCGCTGCCACGGACAGCCCTGGGGTCAGCAGCAGCTCCCTGGCTATGGGATGGAGATTAAAATACTGTGGGCACTGGGTGCTGTGGGCACAGTGGGCTCGTGGCTGGCTGCTTTTGGCAGTGCTCTCGGCTGGAGTGTGGGATCTGTCAGCAGCCCTGATGCTGCTGCGTGGGTCGGGGGCTCGGCTTGGAGCCGGTGTTGGCTCTATCTGCCCAGCCTGGTCTCCCTGTGCCAGGTGACATCCCTGGCTCTTTCCCTCTCCATGATCTTTTAGGGCTGTCAAGCTGTCCCCCTGCAGGCTGTTCTGCCTGATGCTGCCAGAGGGGCCAGCTCTGTGCCCACCCCTATGCCAGTGTGTCCCTGGGAGCGCTGTGGGGGGCTGGTCCCTGTGCCCCTCCATGTGCCCTGGGATCTGTGTCACTTGTGTGTGTCCTGGGGGTTCTGGGTCACTGTGGGAGCTATTGCATCTGTTCATCTTGCCTTTCTGCAGGGGATTTCTTCCTCAGGGCATCCCGGGTGGGGGGCACAGGCAGGCTCATGGCCTGGCTCTCCCGTGCAGCACTGACTGTCCCTGTCCCTGTCATGCCTTGCATCCAGCAGACCCAGCGGCTTTTCCCTTTGCTTTTCCAGGTGCCGAGGGCTCTGCTGGGGTGACACGACCTCTCTCCCACCGACACCACGCCGTGCCACCCCCCACCACCCAATGCCTGGGGACTGCCTGCCCTCACCTTGACGGGTGGCAGCGGGTGACACGGGGTGGTGTGGGTCCCCCAGCCAGCACCAGCACACCCCATGGCGGTCCCCTTGGCCGCCTGGCTGGGGCTGATGCACCTGGCCACTTGTCTGGCTGCTGGGCACGGCATGGCTGGCAAGAAGGAGATCAGCATGGATGGGGACCTGGTGATTGGGGGCCTCTTCCCCGTCCATGAGAAAGGAGTGGGGAGTGAAGACTGCGGCAAGATAAACGAGCACCGGGGCATCCAGCGCCTGGAGGCCATGCTCTTCGCCCTGGACGAGATCAACAAGGACGGGAGCATCCTGCCGGGGGTGAAGCTGGGTGCTCACATCCTCGACACCTGTTCCAAGGACACCTATGCCCTAGAGCAGTCCCTTGACTTCGTCCGTGCCTCCCTTACCAGGGTGGATGGTTCCGAGCACATCTGCCCCGATGGCTCCTACGCCGTCCACGACGATGTTCCCACTGCCATCACCGGCGTCATCGGGGGCTCCTACAGTGATGTGTCCATCCAGGTACCTCCCAGGCAAGAGGGGCTCAGATGGGGCTGGGGTTTGAAGTGGGGGAGGCGGATAAAAGCTTGGCAGCAGTGCAGTGATGCCACTGCCAGTGTGGCACAGGGAAGCGTGCTCATCCCTCACGGTGATGCTCTGCCCCTTTCTCCAGCAGGAAGGGAGTGCTAGGCGGGCACCTGAATGAGCCATCTCTCTGTGATTGTGGGGGATGTGCCCGGGGTCCCCTTGGGGGCTGGCAGGAGTCCCCCAACACTCCATTAGGAGCCAAGCCTCACAAGGGGGCAGGTGTTTATTCCTCTCCTGGGTTCAAGGTGGCAAGTGCAGCTCCTCAGCCCAGCTCATCTCTGGACTGTGCCAGACAGAGAAGACCAGTGTGAGGGGGCTCTGTCCCTCTTTCCCCCACAAAGGGCAGGCCATGAGGTCCTGCAAGGGACATGCCCCTCTGAGGGGCTCAGCCGTGGCTGCCTGGCTAAGGCAGGGTGTGCTCAGAGGACAAGTGCCCCTGTGTCCCCAAGTGATCCCACACGAACAGGCACTTCAAGCTTCAGACCTGGCTGTGACCCTGGGTGGGGTGCATCTCAGTCCCCAAAACCTTGTCTCTGTAGACCTGCAGGCTGGTTCCAGCAGGTAGAAGGGCGTCCCCTGAGGATGCAGGACTCAGCAGGACCAGCTGAGTCACAGGGGTGGCCGGTGGGCCGCATGCTTGCTGAGATTTAATGAGTCCCCAGCATGTGCCAGACTGTGTGTCCTGGTCCCTGGGATCCCTGCATCCCCCAGGTATGGGGTAGAAGAAGCTGGGACTGCGTGATGGAGGCAGCATCCCAGCCCACCTGGGCACTTGTCCCTTCACCTGCTGGGAACCCAGCATGTTCCCATGTCCCAACCCCGGGCAGGCTGGCAGCTCCCATGGACGGTGAGGACAGACTCACTGTGCTTGGAGACATTCTTGCCATTAGGGGAATTTGTCGTCAAGATCATTTGTCCACATTAATTAAGCCGCGTCTCCTGCCTGGGGAGCAGTGAGATGTGGGGAGGTTTGGCATCCCCGCTGGCACACCCGAGGTCCGCTTGCTGCCCCTAGAGCCTGGGTTTTAACAGCCTCATTAGTGGGGCTTTTTTCCCCTTTGAAGCTAACGAGGGATTCTGCTGAGTGTCTGGAAGGTGCCAGTCCCACTGTGCCCCTGGTGTGGGATGCGCAGGCGCCCGTCCCCTGACCCAGTTCTGCAGCACCCCCCAGCCTGGTGGGGGACTCTGCCCTGGCTCCCAGCCCCTAGAATCCTTTCCCCCATGCTGTAGGGCTGCCAGGCATCCTGGCTTTCTCCTTGCCATCGAGAATCTCCCGAATTTTGAAGCAGAGTGCTTGAAGCATTTAAAAAAAAAAAAGATAAATGAGCATGTCTGAGGTCTCAGGCACGCTGTGAATGTGCCATCCATTCTTCTCCAGCCCCTCCACAGATCAGGATGCTCTGGGTTGGGATGGGTTGCTCCTCAGCACAGTGGTTGTGTTTGGGAACATCGTGCAACACTGGGTACAGGGCAGGGTCCCCCCATAGGAATGTCCCTTGCTGGCACCCCTTCAGGCACTCACATCTCCTCCTCCTCCATGCAGGTGGCCAACCTGCTGCGGCTCTTCCAGATCCCACAGATCAGCTATGCCTCCACCAGTGCCAAGCTCAGTGACAAGTCCCGCTATGACTACTTCGCCCGCACTGTCCCTCCAGACTTCTACCAAGCCAAAGCCATGGCAGAGATCCTCCGCTTCTTCAACTGGACCTACGTCTCCACTGTGGCCTCAGAGGGAGACTACGGGGAGACGGGGATCGAGGCCTTCGAGCAAGAAGCCCGCATGCGCAACATCTGCATCGCCACCTCGGAGAAGGTGGGGCGCTCCATGAACAAGAAGACCTACGATGGAGTGGTCCGGGCTCTGCTGCAGAAGCCCAATGCCAGAGTGGTCGTGCTATTCACCCGAAGTGAAGATGCCCGGGAGCTGCTGGCAGCTGCCCAGAGAGCCAATGTGTCCTTCATGTGGGTGGCCAGTGATGGGTGGGGAGCCCTGGAGAGCGTGGTGGCCGGGAGCGAAGCGGTGGCAGAGGGAGCCATCACCATCGAACTGGCAGCCTACCCCATTAAGGAGTTTGCTTCCTACTTCCGTAACCTCCACCCCTACAATAACAGCCGAAATCCCTGGTTTCGGGAGTTTTGGGAGCAGAAGTTTAGGTGCAGCTTCCACACGCAGGACTGTAGCCGGTACTCCCTCAAGACAGGCAAGTTTGAGCCAGAGTCCAAGATCACGTTCGTGGTCAATGCAGTCTATGCCATGGCTCACTCTCTTCACAACATGCACCGGACATTGTGCCCCAACTCCACCAAGCTCTGTGATGCCATGAAGCCTGTCAATGGCAAGAGGTTTTACAAGGACTTTATACTCAATGTTAATTTTGATGGTGAGTCCAAAGTGGATATGGGGTTTGGCTACCAAACTGGAAAGGGATGGGTGGAAGATAGGAAACAAGGAGGCTCAAATTTGACCCCAAACCCTCCAGTTCCTCCAGCCTGTCCACACCCAGGGCTGTGGTTGTCCTGAGGTGCCAATAGCCAGCCCACCATCATCCTTGGGAGGCAATCCAGGCCTTCTGTCCCCAGTGGAAACCTGTGAAGCTGGCCACCAACTCCATCCTGCTACAGCTGGGTGGGACCAGCCCCACCCAGCCCCAGGGATCCTCAAGAACAGGGGTCCTTGCAAGCATCATGATTTATTCACATTTCAGGGATTAAACTGGAGGGATACCCTTCATCAGGGACCCATGTAGTTTGGGGTGAATTAGAAGCATGTCCTCTGTGACTTGGGCTGAGGGTGTCTTGGCTATCAGGAGTCACTGAGAGCCATGGAGGCTGCACAACCGCCCTCTGCCCCTGCAGAGCTGGCTGGGGCTCACAGGCTCTCAGGCAGGTGGGTAGTTCTCCACTTTTGCTTTCCTGCTCCTAACATGTGCATAGGCAGCAAGGGTGGGAGTGAAGGCAGGAAACAGGTTGGGCATTTTGTGTGGCCATGGCGGGATGTGACCCTTTGGATGGGCCCTGCCTCGAGGCCTGGAGTGAGTGTTCTCCTGCCCTGAGGCAGTGACTGTCTCCTCTTGTCCTCCCTGCAGCTCCGTTCAGGCCAGCGGACACCGAGAGCGTCGTTCGCTTTGACCGCTACGGCGATGGGATCGGGCGCTACAACATCTTCAACTACCACTACGTGGACGGGCGGTATCGGTACCAGAAAGTGGGCTACTGGGCAGAGGGGCTCGTGCTCGACACCAGCCTCATCCCCTGGGCTGAGACCTCCATTCCCGTGTCCCAGTGCAGCGACCCCTGCAAGAAAAATGAGATCAAGAGCATGCAGCCCGGAGACATTTGCTGCTGGATCTGCATCCCCTGCCAGCCCTACGAGTACCTGCTGGATGAGTTCACCTGCATGGACTGCGGTCTTGGCTACTGGCCCAACGAGACCCTGAATGGCTGCTACGAGCTGCCCCAAGAGTACATCCGCTGGAAAGATGTCTGGGCCATTGGTCCCGTCACTATCTCTTGCCTGGGCTTTATCTCCACCCTCTTCGTTATCGGAGTCTTTGTGAAGAACAACGACACTCCCATCGTGAAGGCCTCTGGACGAGAGCTGTGCTACATTCTGCTGACTGGGGTCCTCATGTGCTACAGCATGACCTTCATCTTCATCGCAAAGCCCTCCACCGGGGTGTGCACGCTGCGGCGCCTGGGGCTGGGCACGTCCTTCGCTGTCTGCTACTCGGCCCTCTTGACCAAGACGAATCGCATTGCCAGGATCTTCAGTGGGGTGAAGGAGGGGGTCCAGCGCCCCCGCTTCATAAGCCCAACGTCTCAGGTGGTCATCTGCATGGCCCTCATCTCTTGCCAGCTGATCATCGTCATCATCTGGCTGCTGGTGGAGACCCCCGGCACAGGCAAGGAGACTGAGCCTGACAAGAGGTACATTGTCACCCTCAAGTGCAACAACCGTGACTCCAACATGCTCATTTCGCTCACCTATAATGTCCTCTTGATTGTCCTCTGCACGGTCTACGCCTTCAAGACACGGAAATGTCCCGAAAACTTCAACGAGGCCAAGTTCATTGGGTTCACCATGTACACGACCTGCATCATCTGGCTGGCCTTCCTGCCCATCTTCTACGTGACCTCCAGCGACTACCGTGTAAGAGCTGGAGCTCTGAGGGGGCTCTGCAGGGCTTGGTCTAAGTGGTCCTGGAGATCTGGGCCATGCAGGGTCCATGATTAGGAGATGTATGGGCCTGGGGAAGGGTCTGCACCCACACACTTGTGATGGTCACCTTTGCACTGGGTAATTCAGGACCAGGTGAAGGGTCCTGAAGGACTGTGGCTGATGGGCCAATGAGTCCTGGAGAGAGGATCTGCCCCCTTCCCTCCTTTGCTAGGATGAGGATGGGAAATGGCGCTGAGACCTCCAGAGATCCCCCATGGAGCAGTAATAGTCATCCTTCAGCCTGGTGGCACAAAAGCATGAGACAGCGCTACCCATAGCCATGACTATCATGGAGCAGTAATAGTCATCCTTCAGCCTGGTGGCACAAAAGCATGAGACAGCTGCTGGCTCAGCCAGACACCACACCCCAGGGCATGAATGCTAGCGCCAGGTTGTCCAACCCAGCCTGGTCCCTGGGCTGCTGAGCAGTGCCAGGAACTGGATAGCACGGGGTGCATCCTGGCACGGACAACCAAACACATTCTTGATGGGTCTTGAGGAGTTGGTGGGGACAGTTAGGGGCTTCCAGAGAGGACCTGCACCTCCAGAGAGAGTGGGCACTGGGGCGGGGAGTGCAGGCTCTGGCCCCGGGCAGTGCCACAAAGCAGCATGTTGGCAGGGCTGGGGGTGCTGCTCAGGGTGTACCTGCTTTGCAGGGGAAACTTGTCCCCACCAGGGCAGTGTCCATACTCTGCCCATGGGTCTCCTGCAGCACCACCCTGACAGAGGGATGTGGTGTGGGGTGGAATGTCCCTGCAGGGTGCAGCCTGTGCCCTGTGGGGCTGGCCAGTGCCACAGCATGGGCTTCATCCTGCCCCGCTTGGGGCAGAGGGCTGACGGGTGGAGCACCTGATGCCCACCCCTGTCTCCAGGTCCAGACCACCACCATGTGCATCTCGGTGAGCCTCAGCGGCACCGTGGTCCTCGGCTGCCTCTTCACCCCCAAGCTCCACATCATACTCTTCCAGCCGCAGAAGAACGTGGCCAGCCACCGCGTGGGCACCGCTCGGTTCAGCGTGGCAGCAGCCAGCTCCAGCCAGTCCCACGGTGAGCACGGGGCTGGGGAAGGGCTGGGGGACAGCACCCCTTTCCTGGTGGGGCGTGTGTGTGGGCACCCCAGCACGGGCTCCTGAAGAAAAGTGGGGTGTGGGTTGGAAATGGGGAGGGAATGGTGGATGTGTCCCCAGTGGCTCTTCCCTGTCCTCTGTCCCAATGCCTCATCTCCCAGCACAGCACAGCTGCCAGAGAGGTACTGCTCCTGGGGAGCCCTCATTGCACTGAGGGGACACTCTCCACCCCAACACAGGGGATTCAGCTGCCCCCAGGTGCCTGTCACTACACGAGGCACTCTCCCCTTTAGCTCCAGGGAATATGACCACCCTGGGCATGCAGGGGGACATGGCCATCCTGGGCCCCCTCCACCCCAACTCCCTGGGCACCACTGCCACGGGATGCTGGGCAGTGCTGCTGCCAGGCCCCAACCCAGCCCTGACTGCTGCCTTCCTGTCCAGGCTCAGCCTCGCCATACGTGCCCACGGTGTGCAATGGCCGTGAGGTGGTGGATTCCACAACGTCATCCTTGTGAAGGACGGGGGGCCAGGCTGTGGTGCTGCCACACAGCACCCCTGCTGCTTCCCCAGGGAGAGCAGTGCCCGCAGCACGGGCCGCTGAGGTGCCAGCTGCAGCCAGGAGGCTCAGTCCCTGCCCCAGCACGAGCTACACATCCCACACGTCGGGTCATGGTACGTGTCACCCTTCCCTTGCACTGAGCCACGTTACATGTACCCTGTCCCCCACACCCTGCACTGAGCCATGGTGAACATCCCCCTCCCTGAGCTGAGCCACGGCGCACGTCCCCAGCGCTCGCACCGAGCCGTGGCACGTCCCTCTGGTCACCTGCACTGAGCCATCGTGCCCCCACCCCCTGCACTGAGCCATGGTGAATGTCCCCCCAGCCCTGCACTGAGCCGTAGTGCACATCGCACGGACCTCGCACTGAGCTGTGGCACAAATAGCCTGTCCTTGTCCCTTGCACTGAGCCCTGGTGCAGCCCCGCCTGTACCAAGCCCTGGGGCACATCCCCTGGCCCTTGTCCCCACATCCCCAGCACACATCTCCACTCCTGCTTTCGGCTTGCACCATTCCACGCTGCACCTCCCACTGTGGTGCCACACACTGCCCTCGCCCCAAAGCCACCCCAGCTTCCCAGTTCCATGCCTTTCCCAACACCCCCTGTGCCAAGCCTTGGACCACATCACCCTTTCCCCAGTGCTTTGCATTTTCACGTTTTCCTCCTGGTTTTGGCGTCAGGAGAGCCACCGAGCGTGGCTGGGCTGGGCCTAAGCCTCCCCCTCATCGCTTCCCTCACTGGGTGTGGCGCTTCTCATCCCCTACTGGGAGACAGGGCTGGAGTGGGGGCAGACAAATTCCTGCTGACCCCAGCCCCTGCAGAGCCCGGGGGGGCGCTGGAGGCTCAGGGCAAGCAACAGGACCCAGGTATTTGAGCCCAACCAAGTTTTTAAGAGTAGACTTTTTCTGTGAACAAAAGTGTGATTATTTTTTTTTTTTGTAATTTATGTAAATAAAGTGGTTTTGGTGTTGTTTCTTTTTTTACAAAATGGATTGTTCCAGAGCTCAGGTACAGCCAAACCTGAGAAAAGGGAACAGACCCTCGCAGAGGGCAGAGCCACATCAAGATATGAGGGCCAGCAGAATCGGGGGCCATGTGGCAACCTCCACTCACATCCTGCCGAGCACGGTGGTGGCTGCACCAAGGGTGGGAGGCACAGCTCCAGGGACAGAATGACCTGCTCCAGTGGCTCCAGGGACAGAGGGCTAGGAGCTGCCAGGGGAGCCCTCTTCAGGGCTAGAGGCTGTGGTCTTCTGCTTCAGGGGGATGATGCAGATGCTGTTTTTGGCTTCTTTGATTCTCCACCACCGTCCCAGCCTGTGGGTGAGAGAGATGGGGGAGTCACCCTCCATCAAGACCCAGAGGGGAGGGAAGCTGCATGCCCAGGCAGCTACACCAGGGAGGGGGGACAGTACCGGTGCTCCTGCCCGATGCCAGCCACCAGGAAGTCACCAGCTGCTGAGAACTTGAGGCTGTTGACAAAACCCACCTGGAGGGGACAGGGCAGGGTGAGGGCTCCCACAGCTTCTCCTGCTGCCCAAGAATGGGAGTCCCTGCTGAGATACCCTCCAGCCCAGCTCCAGAACTCCCAACCTGCCCATCCATCCATACCAAGGGGATGTCCAAGAGGTGCTCCAGCTTCCGAAATCCTTCACCGCACTTCCAGAGCTTCACATTGCCGCTGTGGGACCCTGGGGCACGGAGAGGAGCCTGTCACGCACCCCAGCCCAGGGATGGAGCAGGACACATCCCCCACAGGCTGCCACCCCACACACCTGTGGCCAGGAGGTCAGTGTTGCGCAGGGCAGCCACGGCTGAGATCCAGAAGGGCTGCTGCAGGCCCTGGGCGTCCTGCTCACCGTGCGCCTGCCGAGCCAGCGCCAGCGGCTTCTTCTTCGTCAGCCCCCACAGGGCTAAGGACCTGTGGGGGATGCGGGGGATGTGAGGGGTGAGGGGGCACCCTGCCCACCCCCCAGGCATCATCCTGGCCCCGTGCTCACCCGTCATCAGCACCAGACACCATGTGCTCCTCGTTGATGAGCTGGATACAGTCGATGGAGCCCCTGCGAAGAGATGAGTGTGCTTTGGGATCCTGCAGGGCATCAGCAGCCCCAGGGTGCTCCTGGCACCCACACAGCACTGCCCCAGCTGGACACACCTGCCCGCAGCCCCTTCTTCCACCCCAGACCTACTGGTGCCCAGAAAACACGAGCTGTGATTCCTCAGGGATCTTCCAGAGCCGCACGGTGCCGTCCCGTCCCCCCGCTGTCACACAGCACTCCCGGCTCAGGCTGTCCAGCCCCGTGATGATGTCCTGGTGTCCGAACCTGCAGGAAATGACAAACAGCTGTGGCAAGCAGGGCCCTCTGCCCCCTCACCTCCTCAGGGCTGCCGGGCCCCCCTTGGAAGGGTCAGTGGGATTTCCCCAGTTCTTACAGGGTCTCCACGTAGGCGTTCTCAGCCACATCCCAGACCTTGACGCAGCGGTCGTGGGAAGCGCTGTACAGCTGGTGTGTGCCCTTTCGGAAGGACAGGCCCTGGGGACAGACAGACAGGCACGGCACAGCAGTGAGGGATGCCAAGCAGGACACGCTGCCTGGCCCACAGGCGCTGTGCCCAGCGCCCCCAGCTCACCGAGACGGCGTCGCGGTGCCCTGTGAAGATGTGCAGGCGCTTGCAGGTGGCTGCATCCCAGATCATGATCAGCTTGTTCCTGTCTCCTGTAGCCTGGCAGACAGCAGGGGACACCTGAGACCTACACGCTGGACACCCACAGCCCACCCCTGCCTCCACTCCCACTCCGTGGGCTTTGGCTGTCCCAGGGACCCATTCTTGACCCAGCAGGGGACAGGGGCTGCTTTAACCCAGCAAGACACATCTGGGCGTGAGACTGCACCCCAAGGACCCAGGGAGAACACTCCCCATGCCCTCTCTCCACCCCTGTCCCCTTACCAGGTACTTGCCATCCGATGAAATGGCCATGCAAAGGACTTGGGATGCGTGCCCCATGTGCCGCTCCTCCGTGCCCTTCTTCCCCCCGGGCACCACGCACAGCCTCTTCCCACTGTCCACCTCCCCTGCAGGAAAGGCATCACAATCACCCTCTGGGAGCCTCCCACCACTCCCAAAAGCGTCAATGAGCTTTTCACAGAGCCTGGAATTATGCACAATCCAAGAACAGCCAAGGGCCAAGCCATCTCAGAGAACACCTGGGTCCTTGCAGGGGTTGGGCTTGGGAACAGCCAGTCACAGCCCCAAGTGAACACTTGCATTTGATGAGGGAGCCGTCCTTGGAAGCAGAAAAAATGAATCTGTCATCAGGAGAGATGACGAGGCAGGTAACGGGCAGCTGGTGTCCCCGCAGCACGCGGATCCTGGCTGGATCTGGAGGCTGTACCTGCAGGAAGAGCGGGATGTGAGCTGGGCTGCCCAGGACCCTTCCCCAGGCACAGGAGTACCCCAGCACAGCCCCCTGACTTCTCCAGGGAGAAAGGCTGTAGCGTGCTGGCCGTGCCTTAGTGTCCCCTGAGCTGGCACCGGCACCCCCAGCAGCGGGCACTTACATCTTTGGCCACCAGGCGCTGCAGCCGGCCTCTCTGCTCCAGCTGGGGAAGAAGGGGCACGTTCAGCAGAGGTGGCCCCGGTCCCGGTCCCGCGGGAAGGGGACAGAGCCCGCTGCCGCCAAGGCGACCGAGGGGCCGCGCCCGCCTCCCCGCTCACCACGTCCTCCTTCAGCCGGTCGCCGATGAGATCCGCCGGCTCGAGTTCCTCCTCCTCCTCGGCCCGCTCCTCCTCTGCGGCGGGACAGCGCGTGAGGGTCGGGCTCAGCGCCCGGGGCCGCCCCGCGGGGCACCGGCGGCGGGCGGGACTCACCGAGCTGGCGGAGCTCCTCCAGGTACTGCTTGGCCAAGCGCAGCTTCTTCTCCTGCGGCGTCTCCTCCACCTCCTCCTCCGCTGCCTCTCGCCGCCGCCGCCCCAGCAGCGGGCTGCAGGGACACGCGTGCGTCAGCATCGGTACCGGCACCCCACAGGTACCGGCATCTCTCCGGTACCGGCATCACCCGGTCCGACACCGCCCCCGGTACAGGCATCCCGCGGTCCGGCATCTCTTCGGTACAGGCATCCCGCGGTCCGGCATCTCTCCGGTACAGGCATCCCGCGGTCCGGCATCTCTCCGGTACAGGCATCTCTCGGTACCGGCGCCCCGCTACGGTAGCGGCACTCCCCAGGCGCAGCCTTTACCTCTCTGTCTCCGAGTCGCTGGACACTTCCTCGTCGGCGGGCCGACCGGCCGTCGCCCGCGGTCTCCCATCGGCGCCCGGTGCCTGCGGAACAAAATGGGGCGATCGACGGGACGGGAATGGGGACGAGCGCAGCAAAGCCTCACGGCGGAGACCCCGGCGAGGCAGCCCTTCCTCGCCCGCCTCCCTGTGTCCCTCCGCCCGGCCCTTACCGCCGGCCGCGGCCGCCGCCGCGCCGCCGCCCCGCGCGGGGCCTTGGCCCGCCTGCCGCTCGCCGCCGCCGCCGCCATGCTGCCGCCGCACGTGGGCACGCCGGCCGCCAGCGGGGCTCGGGCCACGCCCCCGGCAGCGTCTATTGGCTGTGGCCGGCAGGATCCCGCCTCCTATTGGCCCCGCGGCACCGCCTACCGGTGCCGGAAGCGCGCCCTGCCCCGCCCCGTCCGCCGGCCGCGCTGTCACTCGGGTGTGACGTCACGTGCCCGCCCCGCCCCGTAGTCCCGCCTCCATCGTTTGGTCACGCCCCTGCCGCTGGCCACGCCCCTCCTGTCCGGGTGGCGGGGTCCCTTCGGCCGGGACCGGCCGCTCGTACCGGGGACCCGCTGCCCGGGACCGGTTGTCAGAGCCCCAGGGCCCCCAGCGCTGCCTCCTCTGCCCCCATGGCCCTTCGGGCCCAGTCCTGCAGCTGGCAGACCCCGCGGTGACAGCGACAGCGGGCTGGCGCTTCTGAAACCATGACAACTCCTTCTGCCCCTCAGGGACCCTTAACCAGCCTCCACTGTCGGGCATGGCCTCTGCTCCGTTCCCTGTCCTTTGTGGAGCTCCAGGGCCCCATCCTGGGCCATGAAGCGGTAGCGCCTGTCTGTCTGGGACGGGTGATGCTCTGAAGAGCTAAAAACCGCTTTTGTGCAGAAATTTTAGTATGTGCAAACAATCTCTTTTCTCTTTGGCACAGGGGGAGTCAGGGAAGGACAGTGGGAATGCCCTGCACTGGTCTCTGCAAGGCAACAGGCCTAGGGAGAGCCTTTCCCAGCCTGTGCAAGTGGATGCACCAGCTGGGGAGGGATGCTGCCCTCAGGCTCAGCACCCCAGGGCATGACAAGAGGAGCCTCTTGCCTGGAAGCCTGTCGAGGCTACGAAGTTTTGGTCTTGGTGGTCTGAGGCTGCTGTGGAGCTACTGCTCAGGCTCTGAGGCTGCAGGAACCCATGCCAGGGGCAGCGTGGGAAGAACTGGGTGGACAAGGAACCCACCTCGCCATCCATCCGGGCAGATGGAGCAGAAAGGCAGCTGTGGTCATGGAGGGGAGCTCTGCCTAGGAGCTGAGTAAGCTAGAACTCACGGGACACGTCTGAAGGGCCCAAACTGCAGTGCCCAAAAGGCTGGCCAGGGTGGGAATCCCACCTTGGCCTCGTCTGTGTCTGGTCATGTAAGTGAAGGAGCTGTCCTGCACCTCCTGCTTCATCATCTTCTTGGTAAGCCCCATCTCGACTTGAAGGATTCGGATGGAGAGCTCCCGCACAGTGTATCCCTCCTTGGGGAGGAGGGGAGGGCGTGAAGATGGACACCCCCAAAACAGCCTCGGGCAGCGCAGCCCCAGAAGGGAGCGGAGCTGCAGCACCGCACCTCTGCCCAGCGGGGCTTGCTGTCCCTGGGCCTGGAGGCCCTGCGGAGCTCCGGGCAGGCCAGGGTAGGGTATGCCGCCGTCCTGCCCCGGCCCGGCTGGGTATCCGGTGTGCGGGGATTTGGGAGCGGCCGGAGCCGTGAGGGGATTTGGGAGCGGCCGGAGCCGTGCGGGCCGTGCGCCCTCCGGCCGGCAGAGGGCGCGGGCGGGCCCGGCGGGCCCGAGGAAGTGACGGCCGCGGCGGGGCCGAAGCACGGTACGGGCGGGACCGGGCTGGGGCAGGGGAGAGAGCGGGGAGAAGGGCCCGGAGAGGGGCTCGGTGGTGGCCCAATAATGGGCCGGTGATGGGTCAGTGGTGGATCAATGCTGGGGTCACTGACAGGGTCAATGACGGGTTGGTGGGGGGTCAGTGACGGGCCAGTGAGAGGGTCAGCAATGGGGTCAGCGATGGGTGAGCGGTGGGGTCAGAGATGGGTCAGAGATGGGTGAGCAGTGGGGTCAGTGATGGGGTCAATGGCAGGTCAAAGGACAGGTCAGTAATGAGTGTTGGGTCAGTGATGGTCGGTGAGGGTCAGTGGTGGGGTGGGGATCTGTGTTCAGCAGGTGCAGCCATGAGGTGGGAGCAGCTGGGTGATGCCATTTCAGTGTCTGTGTGTGAGTGCTGTGTGGTTTGGGGCAATCGGGGTGCAGGCAGCCTGAGTGCCCGTGTGGGGGTGCAGCGTGGGAAGTGGTGTGCTGTGTGGGGCCCTGGACAGACGTGTCATTCACACCGGGGAAGCAGAACCAGGCGCTGTGGTTGGCCATGAGCCTGGGCTGCTTCCTGCTGCGCTGGCACCCGGGGCGAAGGAGCCAGCAGCGGCAGGCAGGGTGAGTGTGAGCACGGTGAGCGTGAGCAGGGTACAGGTGTGAGCAGGGTGGGTGTGAGCAGAGTGACTGAGCAGGGTGAGTGCAGACAGGGAGGGTGGGTGAAGGCAGGGTGAGTGCGGGCTGGTGGGTGGCAGGCAGATGCTGTTGGAGTCCTGGCGTGGCTTTGCTGGGCAGGTGGAAGGAAACCATCACCCACTCAGGAGTGCTGGTGGGGTCTGACCTCTGAAGGGGACAATGCAGGCTGCACTGTGTGTCAGGAATCTTGGAACTAGGGGGGTGTCCCCACCAGGCCTCCTGGGGGCACCTAGGGTGTGGGAGGGCAGAGTCAGGCCCTCCCCAACCCCCAGAGGGGAAGTGGGGCAGTTTGCTCAATCCTAGTTAATCAACTGGCATGGTGGTTCCTCCTGTCTTCTGCCTGTGGCTTCTTTGCAAAGAGAACTGTCAGGCTGAGAGGGGACCCCACAGCATACTGTAGGATAGGGGTTTTCTGACCCCTCAGAGGCTGTTTGGGCCGCTCAGAACCCCAACTCTGAGGACATGTGTGATGAGGTAGCTAGTCTGATGGGTGCCAAGGTGGCAGGAGCTAGTGGCAGGGGCTGGCGAGGAAGCACTGTGCCTCCTGCCTGTCAGCTGATTTGGCAGTGCTAAACCTTTCTGCAGGTCTCATGGCATGAGTTCCTGGAGCTGGCACCATGTGCCACTTCCCTGCCACGAGTCTCTTGTTTGACCTTGGACTCGCCAAACCTCCACGAATTCATCTGGCTGTGCCACTGGGGAACCGCGCCTGTACTGGGGCCAGTGGCGGGCTGGGGGGAACTCACGCATGGTCTGTGCCTTACCGCCTCTAAGCTGTGACCTGCTTGGTTTCCCGTCAGTGAGAAGAATGGGTTCTGTGTCCGAGGAGCTCAGCTTGGTCCCCTTGCACCAGAGGCCGGAGCTGCTGGAAGCCTGTGCCAAGCTGCTGGGCGAGGAGTGGGGGAAGAGCCGGGCGTCGCGGCTCCACACGCTCCAGCGCTCCTCGGACGCCTTTCCCGCCTGCCTGCTGCTGCTGCGGAGCCGGGGCCCCAGCGAGACCCCCGCCGCCCGGGAGGGGCCCTGCGAGCTCGTGGGCCATGTCCGACTCTCCCGCGTGGTCAGCCGTCCCCGTGACCTCTTCGTGGAGAGCGTGGTGGTGGCCCGGGCGCTGCGGGGCCAGGGCTATGGGCGCCGGCTGATGGAGGCCACTGAGCAGTGGGCCCGGGCCCGGGGCTTTCGCTGCCTGCACCTCACCACCCATGACAAGCAGCATTTCTATGCCCACCTGGGCTTTGTCCTGGGCGAGCCGGTGCAGAGCGTGGCCTTTCTCAGCCCGGCTATATCCTCTGAGGTGCTGCGGCTCTTCTCCGCCCCTTCTGGGGCTGCCACTGCCACCACCACCAGGCCATGGGTACCCGCTGCCCCCCCGCCTCCTCTGCCGCCCCTCACTGTCCCTCCACCACCTCCCCCACCGACGGTGATCTGGGCGAGGGGTGTCCTGGCTGAGAGCAGCGAGCAGAGCCTCCTGGAATCCCCGCACCGCGATGCCAAAGGGCTCCCCATCTTCTGGATGAAGAAGGACATCTGAGGGGCTGGGGCCCGAGCCAGTGATTAAAAGCAGTGCGGGTGGGAGCTGCCCGCCGCAGCACTGCCTGACTGCCTGCCATTCTTCAGGGCTGGCACCAGCTCCCCCAGCCTCCATGGCTCACCCTGGAGGGGTGCTGGCAGGGAATGGGCAGAGTTCCCGTACCATGCCCTACCTGGGCACACTGTCTCTGTTCCTGCCTGGCCCCCCACTTGCCTGGCTGGGGCTCTGGGACCCACCAGCATGGTGGGGAGACAGTCCCACCCCAGGCTGTGGGGCTGGCACTAGTGCCCAGGAGCACTGCCCAGCCCCACCAGCTGTCTCTGCTCAGGATTTGCTGTGGGGCAGCTGGGGCTGACGGAAAGTGGCGGCCTCCAGCATGGCCACAGCTGTCCCCCCTGAGCAGTCTGGGGAAACTGAGGCACAGGATGGCTGGGGGGGCACTTGGGAGTAGGGCATGGTAGTTAGTGGGGCTGCAGAATCAGGTCCCCTGCACTGCACAGCGAGAGGTGCAGGTGGCCAAACCCCCCTGAGGCAGCCGGTGTCAGTGAGGGCCTGAGGCATGGGAGCGGGAAGGTCAGAGAGAGCGTCCGGCCTTGCAGCGAGGGATTAGCACTGTCCTTGCTGTGTCACGCGGCCCTGGGCCCATTCCCCGCCTAATCCCCTCATTCTGGGCAGCTGGCCAGTACCGGGCAGGGGCACCAGACCCCTCTGGCTCTGTCTGGGCTGTAAGGGACAGTGCTGCCCCTTTGGTCCCACCATGCCTCCTGGGGGGACTCAGTCCTTCAGCAGGTCACCCAGCCTGGCTCAGCACTGTGCTGAAATGGGGACCAGGGAGTCTTGGTGCCTCCACTACAGGCAGGATGGGGAGTGAGCAGGGAAATTGAGGCACCAGGGTCAGTGGCTTGCACTGCCACTCCCGAGCTGTGCCATGGCTGTGGTGGTGCAAGCAGGATCTCAGCACCAGAGAGCAGCAGGCAGAGGTAACACTGGCAGTGCTGAGGGCAGGAGAGGTCTCAAACCCCCAAGTGTACCAGGTCCTGTCAGGTTTTGGGATGGGCAGCATGTGCTTGCAGGACAGCCCGGCCCCTGTTGCCAATCCTAGTCCACCATGTGCCAGGGGGGCAGTGCCTGCATTGCTGGAATGCCCACTGCATCCCACAGCCTCACACCCATGGCTCTCCTTTCCTCGCAGGGTGCCGGCCCCGCAAGCAGCTGGTGAGGTAGGATGGTGCTGGTGCTGGCACTGTGGGCCTGCCTGGCACTGGGCACAGCCCGTGAGGAGAGCCCGGCACCCGCGCCCCTGGCAGGCGGCCAGCCCTTTGCCGTGGTGTGGAACGTCCCCTCCGGGCGCTGCCAGCACCGCTTTGGCATAGGGCTGCCCCTCAGCGACTACGGCATCGTGGAGAACCAGGGTGGCCACTTTGCTGGCCAGAACATCACCATCTTCTACAAGAACAAGTTTGGTCTGTACCCCTACCTGTCACAGCACGGTGTCCCCCATAACGGGGGCCTCCCCCAGCGTGTCTCCCTCGACGCCCACATCAACAGGGTGGCCGAGGACATCCACCTCCTCCTGCGACCTGCTTTCCATGGCTTGGCCGTGGTGGACTGGGAAGAGTGGAGGCCCCTGTGGGCCCAAAACTGGGGAGCCAAAAAGATGTACCGGACAGCCTCAGAGCAGTGGGTGCGGGACCAGCACGGCGTCCTGCCGGCACGGCAGCAGCTCCGACTGGCCCAGCTGGAGTTCGAGCAGGCGGCACAGGCTCTAATGGAGGAGACCCTTCTGGTGGGCCGAGCCCTGCGCCCTGGGGGGCTCTGGGGTTTCTACCGCTTTCCCGACTGCCTCAACAGCAACTGGGCCAAGGAGGCAAACTACACCGGGCAGTGCCAGCCGGCGGAGGTGCAGCGCAACAACCATCTGGGCTGGCTCTGGGCCGCCTCGTCTGCCCTCTACCCCAGCATCTACCTGCCGCTGGTGCTGCCGCCCGCCCTGCGCCGCCGCTACGTGCACCACCGGCTGCGCGAGGCCCTGCGCGTGGCCGCCTTCGGGGCCCACGGCCTCCTGCCCGTGATCGCCTACTCCCGCCTCTCCTTCCGCCGCTCCTCACGGTTCCTGCCGCTGGTAAGCACTGTGGGGCCGGAGCTGGCCACGGGTGTGATGCAGGGTTCTGGTTGGCACAGGGACGGAGGCTGTGTCCCCCAGACGGGTCACGTCTCTGTTCCTGGCAGGCTGACCTGGTGCACACCATCGGGGAGAGCGCGGCGCTGGGAGCGGCTGGGCTCGTGCTCTGGGGAGACATGTCCTACTCCCACTCGGCCGTGAGTATGGCCCCCGCAGCACTCGAGGCAGTGGGCAGCAGGAGATGTGTGGGATGTACGGAGTGGCCACATACCCCGTGCCCACCAGGGAGGGCTGGCCAGGTCTCTGTTGCTGGGGCGGGTTGTCACTGGTGCTTCCTCCCCAGGAAAGCTGTGCCAACCTGCGCCACTACCTCATGTCCACCCTGGGTCCTTACGTGGCCAACGTGACGGCAGCAGCCCGAGAATGCAGCTATGGGCAGTGCCATGGGCACGGGCGCTGCGTGCGCCGGCAGCCCCACGACCTGGGCAGCCTCCTGCACCTCGGGCCCGGTGCCAGCCCTTGGGCTGCTTTCCGCTGCCACTGCTACCGTGGCTGGGCAGGTGAAGGCTGTGCCCAGCGGGTACGGCTCAGCCCTGCCACCTCCTGCCAGGTGCCCGACCATGCTCACAGCCTCTATGGGCACAAGGATCTCACATCCTCTGACACCTGCCTGCCACAGGGCACGTGGGGCTGGTGACAAAGGCCAGGGACCGCTACGGTCCCCTACCCCAGCAGTGCTGCTGCTGGCACTTCCTGTGGTCTCATTAATCTAAATAAATTCTCCTTGCACAGCTGGCATGGTTTTTGTGGGCAAAGCTGGGCGACTCTGTGGTGTCCCCATGCTGGGCACAATTGCCATTGCTGCTGAGAGGCAGCACAGATCCCAGTTTGGCTCTGGATGGGTCCAGCAAGTGCGTCAGTTTTCCTGCATGGGCTCTGCCCTGATCCCATGAGCTGGCAGCCCCTTTACCCTGGGAAAGGGGCCATGGGGCACTGCCACAACCTGCTGTCCCTTTGCCACTGGCACTGTGCTGCCAGCAGCCCTGACCACGTCACCAGGCCCCCCTCCCCACAGCTATTTTTATCGCCCCCCAACCGTGTTTCTCACTGTCCTATTTTAAGCGGCGCAGTTGGCGCACCGGGAACCCAGTGCCCAGCTCCTGGGGGCCCTGCAGCACCTCACTGCCCGCTCACGCTGCCCGGGCGCAGGGAGCCATGCCCAGGGAGGCTGCAGAAGGTACACTGGGGAGTGGGCTTGGGGCTGGTGGGGGCTCTAGCACCCCAGGGGATACCAAGCGATGCAAGGCTGTGGGGTCGGGATGGAAGCAGTGGATAGATAGTGCCCTCTGCCATGGGGGCTGTGGGCAGAGATGCCTGCCCAGGGAAGAAGGGGGTCCTGGAGGGCTGCAGGAGTTGGGCAGCAGGGTCTGGGGAGGGTGCAAGCAGCTGGCGTGCACAGCCCCCTGCAGCAAACCTGCATTACCAGCTGTGCCCCACCCGGGGGCAAGTGGGTGCAGGGGTGATGTGGGTATCTGTGGAGCAGTCCCTGGCCAAGGGTAGGGCTGTGGGGAGGCTCTGAGGGGACCCTGGGTACCGGCTCAGGCCCCCCAGCCCTGATGCCTGCCAGCCCTGCGGGTGACACACAGTCTGGACAGCAGCAGCACGGCGCCACGCTGCCCTGCGCCACGCCACTGACCCCGGGAGGGATTGGGAGTGGGCACGCTGCCAGCCTGCCATGCTCTGCCAAGGGCACAGTGCGTGGGCCCTACCCACTGCTCAAAAATACACAAACACCTAGAAAATAATCTTTTCTCTCTACCCCAATGCAGGCATGGTTATTTCCCAAAACAGGAGCAATGCCTACTTCTAAAAAAGCCCTCTCAGTAGGGCTTTAGGGCAATAGGCACCAGGGCCCCCTGGCACAGCATACACCCCACATCTCCATCTGTGCAACCCCAAGCACCCCAGTACCTGCAGGGCAAGCTGGGCCACACCACAGACTGGCACTGCCCTGCACCTGCCCACCAGTTTCCAGCTGGCCCTTGGAGCCCCAGCCAGTCCCACAGTGCCTGGGCTATCCTGGCTGGGGGGTGGCACATTCCTGCCCCCAAGCCAGGGCCAGATTCCAGCCCCACTAACAAGGCTCCGGGATCGTGGCCACCAGGCACGGCTAACTGCTGCGATGACAGCGGTGGGGCCGGGGGGGCACAGCCACTGCTTGCCCACTGTGGCTGCAGGGCTGGGCCAAAGGAGCACCAGCCTTGGCTGCCTGCCCTGGTGCAGCACCGGGCTGCCAAGGCTGAGATCCCCCCGGCAGGGCTCTGGTCCCACAGGGGTGCCCAGGGCAGGCAGGGGCTGTGGGCAGGGCACAGGCTGACCCTTTGCCTCTGTTCCAGCAGACAGCATGGGAAGGGCTGAGGGTGCTGCACCGGCAGAGCCTGGGGACCCCGACAGCAGTGAGTCTGGAGCCATCAGCCTGCGCCCCGTGGAGTCCATCAGCGATCTGTACTGGGCCTCGGGCGGGCACAAGGGCACAGAGGGTGAGAGGGGGCAGGAGGGCTGTGCAAGACCCGGGTGAGAGGGCAGGGGGGCTGTGCCCGTGGCCAGGCTCTGACCCCTTCTCTCCCCTGCCTGCAGGCAATGGCCCGGCTCCCTCCAGCAGCCTGCACCGGCCTCCGCCTCGGCCCGTGTCCCCTGTGCCCCCGCCGCTCCTGCCCACCCTGCGCCCCGTGCCCCCTGCCAGCCTCTGCCCCTGCCTCGGCCCTGGCCACCCCCTGCTGCTGGCCCTGCTGGCACTCCTGGCACTGTCGAGCCTGGTCCTGGCCACACTGGCCATCTACCTGAGTGGTACGTGGCACTGGCAGGGTGGGAGCTGGGGAACTGTGGGGGTCTGAACTGCCTGCCCTCAGCACGTTCCCATCCTCTCCCCGCAGTCCTGCAGAGCCAGTCGGTGCGGGCGCTGGCCCAGTGGCTGGAGAGCCAGGAGGACGCCGTGCACCAGCTGCGGGCAGCCAGCAGGCAGCTCTGGGCTCGCCTCAATGCCAGTGCCCAGCCTGGCGGGCACCGCTGAGCTGCCCCTCACGCCACCATGGGCTCTGGGATGCCACGGGAAGGGGCAACGAAGGGCAGGAGGGGGGAGCGGGCAGCCTTACCCACTGAGACCTGGCAGCATTGCCCCTTGGGGCACAGGAGCAATCCGGACCCTGTCCCAGGCTGTGAGAGAAAGAAACTGGGCTGTAAGGACCTCCATCCACCCCAGTGACAGCCCTTCCTCTTTACAAGGCAGAAGGCATACTTTATTTAGCCTTTTAATTACCTCTTACAATCAAAGTCTTAGAAAAATCACCATGATAGATACATTCCCAGGGTGGCAGGCACTGCCAACTGGCATGGCCCCATGCCCGCCTGGGCAGTGCCCCCCCTGTAATTAATTTCCCACAAGATTACTATTTCATATAAAGCGTTTGGCTGGAAAAGGATTAAGAGTGGGCAGCTGGCAGGACTGGGCAGAGCTTCCCACTCCACAGTGCTCTGCCACCATCGCTGACGCCAGGCTGGCTGGAGAGGCAGGGGCTGTACCCAGCATGGCAGGAGGGGGAGAACGCTCCTGCCACAGGCACTGACACCAGGGCCAGCTGCTCTGCAGCCCTGCACAGCTCTGCCCTCCCACCCACCCTTCAGGCTGTGCCAGGCCACCCTGGTGCTCCTGCAGGACTGGGGACGGTGTACACGAGCCCTGCCACCAAAAGTGGCTGCAAGAGCCTGAGTGAGACCCCCACGCCCCACTGTGTCACATGGATCCGCAGCCACAGAGCAGGCACACGGCAGCACGCCACCACCTCCCCCTGCTCTTCTTTTATGCTTCCTATTTTTTGGTTAAAAAAATAAAAGAGGGGGCAGCCCCCCCTTGGGGTAGCTCCAGGTATTAAATACTCTGCTGTACATGAATAAAAGCCCGAGGGCTGGGGGCACCTGCCCCTCACAGTGCTGGGTCTGCAGTCCAGGTGGGCTGGGGGCTCTGCCCCCTCTGCCCATCACAGCACATCCGCCCGCTTGTCCCGCACGCGGCTCCGGGCTTTCGTGCGCGCTTTGAAGGCAGCTGAGTTGTAGAGGTGCTGGAAGGAGAGGAAAGGAGAGATTAGGGTTTGGGGTGCCCCTCTGCCCACCTCCCCACAGCACCCACCACACTCAAGCACTCAGCTGGAGCCCCAGGTGGCAGAGGAGGGGACTGTGGGCACAAATCTGGGAGGTGGCACCACCTTCTCGAAGCGGGAGACCTTGCTGGCTTTCAGGGCAGCCGCATCCAGCACCAAGGGGGGCCCGAGGCCGAAGATCTCCCGTAGCAGCTCATTGTTCTGTGAAAGCAGGGGTCTGTCAACACCCACCAGCACCAGCCCAGCACTCCCTGGTGCATCTGCCCAGCCCATACCTGGAGGTGGTGGTGGATGCCGGAGCCCAGCACCTCCTTAAAGGCTTGGTAGGTGCGCTGGCGTGCCCAGCTGTCCAGGTACATGCACTCCAGGCCAAATCGGATGGTCTCCTCCTGGTACTCCCCACTCTGAGCAGAGAGAGGGGCATCAGCAACAACCTGGGCACCAGCCCTGTGTGTCCCCTGGCTCTCCAGAGAGGAATCATCATGCAGCTGGGAAGCAGCCACGCAGTGGCAGGGCAGGGCAGCACCAGGCCACGGTACCTCAATGAAACGCAGGATGTCCCGGAAGATGGATCGCTGCCTCCGTCGGTCTGTCTTGGCTCGGTACTTGTTGCTCTCAGTAGCCAGGACCTTGAGTTGGGTACACAGGAATTCTGTATCTTGCTGGCACAAGTCCTCCTGCCAAAAAGCAGGGGATTGAGAGGGATGAGCTCCAGGCACTGCCCACTGCCATGGCCAGGACAGGGCTGGGGGATCACTGGGGCTAGCCCCTCTGCCTGGGTGCCTGCTGGTCAATTCCAGCTTGGCAGGGGCATGTCAGGGTGTCACAGCAGCTCCCTCCCTGCTGCCTGCTTAGTGCCACCCACTGCTCCCACTGCCACAGCCCATGCCTTACCTCCAGGTCCTGGGCCAGCTCAAAGAGCAGCGCTATGGTTTCCCCGGCCAGGATGCGCAGGGCAACGCTGCTGCTGGTCAGCAGTGGGGGCAGCTGCAGCCAGCGACTGGGACACGGAGGCAAGAGGCAGTCAGAGAGACCAAGCACTGCCCCAAGGGCTCCATGCTCCACTGCTGACTGCCCCACACCAGCCTCCACTCACTTCACATCCCACTCACTTTTCCAAAATGCTCCTGAGGTGGGAGGGGGGGCAGATGGTGAGGAGCAGGGACCATGACTGGAGCGCGCTGCAGTGCAGAGGCCCATGCTGGGCAGGTGCTGAGCCCCCTTCACCTGTGTTGGCGGGGCTGAAGATGCCCTCCAAGCAGGACAGACATGAAACCAGGTCCTGGAGGAGAAAAACTTTGCCTGTCAGACCACAGCTGCTGTGGAGAAGCCACACTGAGCTGTGCACTGGGGACCAAAGGGGACCCACCATACCAAGGGGTGCCAGGAGAGGCTATTCCACCCACAACACCCCATCTGCTGGCTGCCCCCAGCTCAGCTCCAGGCTGCCCAGGGAAGGGGGCTGGGCTGTCACTCATGTCCCCGTACCCCTACTCCAGCTCAGCTCCAGGCTGGTCTGGCACTGTGGGCTGAGGGCAGATGTCATGGCAGCCCCTGGGTGCCCTCTTGCAGGGGTACAGACGACACCCAGGCACAGTTACCTCGAGGTCAGCAGCAGCAATGTAGCAGCACATGCCCAGGGCTGTGGCACACTGGCAAGAGAAGTTAGGGAAACACGATCAGGCCAGGTGGATCATGCCAGGCCTGATCCAGCACCCAGCCAAGGGGCAGCCGGGTCGGGGTGCCCCTGCTTTGCCACAGTGCACTCCATAGCACCCAATCCTGTCACCCTCTCGTGACTGCAGGGGCACCCAAAGGCATTGCCTGGGCTCTCCCCACCACGGAGGCGTCCCCAGGAGGAAAGGGACCGGGCCTTACGCTCTGCCGGGCGCTGGGGCTGGCCGTGCTGTCCGTCAGGACGCTGACGAGCAGGGGCTTCAGGCTGCGGAACACCTCTTCTCCCTCCGGGCCAGAGCCCATCTGGAGGCAGAGGAGGGTGAGCACGGTGCCCGCCAGCGCCTGTTCTTCCCCTTTACCTGTGGGCAGCACGAGAGACTCCCTCAGACACGGGTCACCGGCCCCGCCGCCCCCCGCCCGCCCGCCCCCGACCTTTCTTGAGGCACTTCTCCAGGGAGTCGGTGAGCGTGAGGCGGCGCTCCAGCAGGAACTCGGGCAGGGTTTTGGAGGACAGGGCCAGGCGCAGGCCCTGCAGTGCCGCCTGCCGCGCCTTGGCGCTGCGAGACACCGCGGCACGTCACGGGCTGGGGTACCCGGCACGGGGCACGTCCTGCCCCGGCCGGCAGCGCTGGCAGCGTGCCCGGAGCGCCCGCGGGGTGACAGCCGCTGCTCACCTCTTGTCCAGGAGGGTGTCCATGTGCTCTTTCAGCCTGTCCTCTACCTCCTCCTCCTGGCCTGGCTCATTCGCCGCCTCGCTCCCTGCCCGGGCGGCACCACGTGAAGCCGGGAAGCCCGAGGGCGGGGCACACCGCGACCCACGTGGGGGTCACCGTGGGGTCCGCGTGGCTCACCTGGTCCCTCGTCAGCGGGGCTGGCGCTCTCGCTGGCACTGCTGCAGTGGCTCAGCACCTCGCTGCCGGCCTCCTCCTCGCTGCCGGGCGAGCTGGCCCGGGCGCTGCCGGTGCCGCCTGCGGGGTTCGGAGCAGACTCGTGTGAGCCCGGCGCTGCCAGCCCGGCGCTGCCAGCCCGGCCATGTCACACGCGGTCCCGACCCCCCGGTCCCCTCGCCCGGGCCCCCCCAACTCACGGGGCGCGGCGCGGCGGGAGCGCGGCATGGCCGGCGCGCGCGGACCCCGCGCCCCGCCCCCGCCATGAGAGCCCCGCCCCCGGCCCGCCTCCCGCCATCTGCGCATGCGCCGAGAGACCTGCCCGAGCCCGCGGTCCTGTCCCTGTCCCTGTCCCTGTCCCTACTCGCCTCCCTGCCCCTTGCTCTGACCCTCTCCCTGCCCTTCTCCCTGTCCAGGCGCTATGTTCATCCCTGCTCCCTCAGTAACCCTGCCCGTATCGCTGCCCCTCTCCCTGTCCTGACGCTATCTTCGTCCCTGGTTCTTGATAGGAAATATGCCTACTGATTTATTTACAAACAATTCAGTGGGTGAGGGTCTTTAGGAGAAATGGGTGTTCATGTCTTTGAAATGGGTCTTAGTGTCTCTACTGGCCTCAGGCCACACAGGTTTGGTGCAGAACCCAGACAGCTTGACTACAGCTTGAATTCCTGAACTTTAGGGCAATAGACAAATGGGTCAGCACAGTCTATTGCAGAGCTCAGCCTGAACTTCTGAACTTCAGGGGCAAATGACAGGCTTAAGGGTGGAACATGTGGTAGGCGGCTCGGGAAGGCTGTACCTTCCCAGACCTCAGCCAATGGGGAAAGGAAAAGGGCAACATGCAGCCAGGAGTTAGGATGAAAGGAGGCTGCATCGTCTGAATGTTGGGAGAGAAAGTCCGTGGGGATATGGCCCAGTGGAGTCTCTCCCTTTATTCGAATAAAGTCGCAGGACTCCTCTGTCTCCTTTATGGACACTTGGCTTCTCCTTACATGATTTTCTGCACATCTCTGCCCCTGTCTCTGTCCTGGCTCTATCTTCATCCCTGGCCACTCACTATCGCTGCCTGTGTCCCTTCTTCTGTCCCTGCCTTGCCTGCATCTCATTAGGAAAATCTCATTCCCTGAGTAAAGTACCAATTAGTCTTTCTAGTATGAAATGGTTTGGCCTTTACTGAGATCCATATACCCCCTGTTATGCTGTACACTGCATAGCTGTGGTTGTGTGGGCAGGCAGATAAGGCCCACAGCCTGGGCCCTCCAACACCTCCTGGGGCCTGACAGATAAATACCCCCCGACGTAGTGAGACTGACTCCAGAATGAGGAAGGAAGGATGCCAAAGGCACACAATTGCACTGGCCTTACAAAGCCATGGGGACAACAGGGAGCTTGTCCCTTTTTTTTTGTGGAGCCTTGTTGTACCCCAACATTTGAA